CCCTGAATAGCCAAAACAATCTTAAGAACAGAGAACAAAGCTAGAGGTACCATGCGCCCTGATTTCAAACTATACTACAAAGCTACAGTAATCAAAACAGTATGATACTGTCACAAAAACAGACACATAGATCAATGGAACAGAATAGAGGACCCAGAGATGAACCCATGCTTATATGGGCAATTGATCTATGACAAAGGAGGCAAGAATACACAATAGGGAAAATAAAGCCACTTCAATAATGGTGTTGGAAAAACTGGACAACTTTCTCACACCCTATATAAATACAAAGTGGATTAAAGACTTAAACTAAGACCTGAAACCATAAAACTTCTAGAAGAAAACATAGGCTATACATTCTTTGACATCAGTCTTAGCAATATTTTTTGAGATCAGTCTCCTCAGGTAAGGGAAACAAAAACAAAAATAAACAAATGGGGCTATATCAAACTAAAAAGGTTTTTCACAGTGAAGGAAACTACCAGCAAAATGAAAACGCTGCCTACTGAATAACAGAAGATATTTGCAAATGATATATCTGATAAGGGGTTAATATCCAAAATATACAAAGAACTCATATAACTCAACATCAAAAAACCAAACAACCCAATTAAAAACTGGGCAGAGGACCTGCAAAGACATTTTTCCAAAGAAGACACACAGATGGCCAACATACACATGAAAAGATGCTGAAAATCACTAATCATCAGGGAAATGCAAATCAAAACCACAATGAGATAGCACCTCACCCCAGTCAGAATGGCTATTATCAAAAAGACAAGAAATAACATGTGTTGGTGAGGATGTGGAGAAAAGGGAACCCTTGCACACTGTTGGTGGGAATGTAAATCGGTGCAGCACTATGGAAAATAGTATGGAGGTTCCTCAAAAACAATTAAAAATAGAACTACCATACAATCCAGCAATTCCACTCCTGGGTATTTACCTAAAGAAAATAAAAACACTAATTAGAAAAGATACATGCACTCCTATGTTCATTGCAGCATTATTTACAATAGCCAAGACAATTAAATATTGACATGTGTGAAAACATGGATGGACCTAGAAGGTATTATCCTAAGTGAAATAAGTCAGAGAAAGACAAATACTGTATGATTTCACTTATATGTGGAGTCTAAAAAACAAAACAAATGAACAAACATAACTAACCAGAAACAGAGTCATAGATACAGAGAACAAACAGGTTGTTGCCAAAGGGGAAGGATGTTGAGGAGGAGAGAAATAGCTGAGGGAAATTAACAAGTACAAACTTGCAGTTACAAACTAAATGAGTAATGGGTATGAAATGTACTGTGTGAGGAATATAGTCAATAATTATGTAATATCTTTGTATGGTGACAGACGGTAACTAGACTTATCATGGTGATCATTTTGAAATGCATAGGAACATCAAATCACTATGTTGTGTACCAGGAACTAACAAAGTGTTGTAGGTCAATTATACTTCTAAAACAAACAAACAGAGAAAAAGAGATCAGATTTGTGGTTACCAGAAGTGAGGGGTGGTGGGAGGGGATGTACAACATGTAACGTACAACATGATAAATATAATGAACACTGCTGTACATTATGTATGAAAGTGGTTAAGAGAGTAGATCCTGAGTTCTCATCACAAGGAAAAAAGTATTTTTCTATTTTTTAAGTTGTATCTATATGAGGTGATAGATGTTCACTAAATTTATTGTGGTCATCATTTCATGATATATGTAAGTCAAATCATTATGCTGTACACCTTAAACATCTACAGTGCTGTATGTCCATTATATCTCAATAAAACTGGAAAAGAAAAAAAAAACAACTGAGGTGAGAATTCTAGGAACATGGCAGAGTAGAAAATACCAGGACTCTGTCTCCTCACCTAGATAACTATTACACAGACAGAATTTGATGTAACTACTTTAGAACTCTGGAGTTTACTGAAGGCTTCCAACTTCCAGGAGAGGGTTTGGGCAGTGGTTAATTTCAGTCAATGTCAGCATTTAGCACAGTAGCAGCTACCCATCCCCCATCTCAAACTCTTTGGCAGGCATCTATGCACATGTTCCTGGAGTAATCTGCACACAGCTTGTGGGAAACAGGGTGGGCAATGAGAACCTTGTCCTCCAAATACTGGACAACTGTGTTCTGGTCACTGATTGCTGTTTCTGATCATGAGGTGCAAAGAGGAGGGCAGTCATTCTTGTTTAACCTCCCCCTCCATCTTGCAACCCCCTTGTTCACTGGCTGAAGTGACTTCCAGGGAATTTAAAGGGATGGTGCCCCTTTCCCTTCCCTTCATTTCTCTCTTTTTCCTCTTTTGGGAGCCAGACATTAAAGACTAGGACATTCAAAAGCGACTGCATGTATGAGGAAAATTAGAAAGTGACTGCGTACGCCCAGGGAAAGGCACACGCTCAGAAAAACACTGAGAAAACCTTAAGTTTACACCTCAGATTGATCATTGGCACAGAGATAGTCTACAGCAATCAAAAATAATAACAAAACCCACCACACCCTGGGGAAGAGGGAGAATTGGATTTCTAGAGTTACCACATTATTAGATTCAAATGTCTAGTTTTCAATAAAAAATCACAAGGCATATAAGAAACAGGAAAGTGTGGTCCACTCAAAGAAAAAAAAATCAAAATAAAATGTCCCTGAAAAAGACCTGATAGCATATCTACTTGGCAAAGACTTTAAAATATGCTTCTTGAAGATGCTTGAAGAACTAAAGAAAGATGTGAAGAGAGTCAAGAAAATGATATGTGAACAAAATAGAAATATCAATAAAGAAATAGAAAACCCAGAAAGAAAGCAAACAAATTCTGGAGCTGAAAAGCACTGAATGAATGAATGAATAACTGAAATGAAAAATTTACTAGAATGATTCAAAGGTTTATTTGAACAGGCAGAGGAAAGAATCAGCAAACTTAAAGATAGGACAAGAGAAATTATTGAGTCTGAGAGACAGAAAGAAAAAACACTGAAGAAAAGTAAACAGAGCCTAAGGGACTTGTGGGAAACTATCAAACAGAGCAACATATTCATTCTTCTCCTTGGGAGTCCAAGGAGAAGAGAAAGAGAGAGAAAGAGTGAGAATATTTGAAGTAATAGGGCCCAAAACTTCCCAAACATGATGAAAGACATGAATATAAACATCAAAGAAGCTCAATGAACTCCAAGCAAGATGAACTCAAAGAGACCTACAAGAAGACACATTATAATAAACTTCTGAAAGACAGAGAGAATCTTGAAAGCAGATAAAAAGTATCCTCTATAAGACTTTCAGCAGATTACTCATCAGAAACTTTAGCAGCCAGAAGGCAATGGACCAATATATCCAAAGTGCTGAAAGAAAAAGAACAAAACTGTCAAGAAAGGATTCTATATCCAGAAAAACTATCCTTCAAGAGTGAGAGAGAAATCAAGACATTCCCAGATAAACAAAAGCTGAAGGAGTTCATTACCACTAGATCTACCCGGTAAGAAATTCTCAAGAGAGCCCTGCAGGCTGAAATAAAATCACTAGACAGTAACTTGCAGCTGTATGAAGAGATATTGTAAAAATCTCACAAAAGGTAAATACAAGGGGAGAGTGACACTAGCATCATGGCAGCCCAAAATGTCCCTTATTTCGTCCTCAGTTCAACAACAAAAATTCAGCATCCATCCATGAAAAAAAGTGCCTCTGTGGGAGTTATGGGATCCAGCACCATACACCAAGGGAACCAAGAGGAATCTTGCCCACCTGTGCATCAGCTAATAGGCAGACAGACCTCAGTACTGGCAGCGAAACCTACAGTAGCCTGTGAATTGGCTCCAGCCACTCTTGGCTGTAGTCCAGGAGCAGCTGGAGAACACTGACTTGGGAGGTCACACACGGATGAGAGAGCCTTTGTGGAAGACCAGGTTTCCAGAGGACAAGCTCTGGCACTCCATTGGAGCAAAAAAAACAGAAGTTTGGACACACTGGAGTGGCAGTTAATAAGGATTGGAGGGCTTGGGATGAGGCAGTCACGTGAGATAAGGCCCATAGGTCAGTAGTAACATTAACACTAATAAAACTACTAATACTAATGCTAATGATAAACAGATGACTCTTTCTAAATGTTCTCTATGTGTTATACATTAAACTGAGCAATTTTTATATGCCTAATTTAATTTAACCTACAAATATCTCTGCTGCTCATGGTAGGGGTGATTATCATTGGAGAAATTGAGGCCCAGAGAGGGGAAGCTTGCCTAGATTCCCCCAGTTCACAAGTAGCCAGGCCTGGCTTTGCACTTAAGTCTGCTGACTAAGAGGCATGCCAAGAAAGCCAGGGGTCCATTCGAGGAAGAGCAAGCATGAGGGTACTAGGGGGTATAGTGGGAGGCAAGAAAGATGGGGATGTTTATAACTTTGGACACTAGACGTGGAAACCTGATCTTCATTCTGAGATAGTTTAGAGGCAAGTAGAGGCTTGGGTTTAGGATAAGCCCTTTAGGTTCAGGAGAAGGAAGACAAGGCCAGGCTGGAGGCTGCCTCAGTAGCCGAGACCAGAGGTGATGGGGTCTGGACTTGTGTGGGGTGGAAAGCAGAAGACAGATATGGGAATTGGAACCTGCAAGATGTGATGATTGAGGTGGTTCTGGGAATTCCCACTTATAGGAGGGGTGAGGCTGAGGTGCTAAGCAGGGAGTGAGGAAGGAGCTCCTAGCCTTTCTGGATGAGGAGGCCAGCTTTGGTAACACAGATGTGGGTCCAGACCCCGGCTCTGCCACATACCAGCTGTGTGACCTCAGGTAGGTTACCGGTCCTCTCTGAACCCATCAGCTGGGTGCACACCCACTTCTTCCTCCAGGCCGGGGCAAGGACTGGATGAAACAAGTGCTTCATAGTTTAACAGCCAGCACCTCGGTTTCCTGATTCCCTTCTCTGTAGTCTCACATCTTCCAAAATCTCTGACCCTACCTTCCAGGGACTAACACTGACCCTGCATGACTGCTGTGGGGCTTACTTTAAGACCTTCCTTCTGGTAACTCTGGGAGATACAGTCCAGGACACCTTTGTATTTGTTTACATAAACCCCATCAGCTTGCAGTCGACTCTTCACGACATCCATAGGAGTTGCTGTCCCCCAAGAAATTGCTCCTGTTAAGAGAGAGACAAATAGGTATCAGGGGCTGGCTGGTTGGGGTCTGGAGGGGACCCGGCTCCCTGCAGATTTCCACCATTCAGAGGCTTAATGTGCTGCTGGGGGATGTGGAAAGAGCTCAAGGTCAGGGCCTATGAAGGGGAATCTGAATCCTCCCTCGCCACTTGCTGTGGGACTTTGCAGAAGTCTCCTGCCACCTCTAGGCCTTGGGTTTGTCTTCTGTAAAATGGGCCAGCAGCACCTATCTTCATGGGCTTGCTATGAGGACAAATAACCTGATGCACGTGAAGCATTTAGCACAGTGCCAGGTCCATCGCTAGTGCTTCCTAAGCAGAAGGCTTTATTAGCAGCTTTTATTGGAGGAACAGGAACAGGCCCCATAGCACTTTCCGGGCACAGGGGAGGGAGACCAGGGTGAGGCCTGAGGCTGAAGGCTGGCAGCTCCCCAGAGGCAGGATTTACTCTGAACGTGAAGGCGGCGCTAAACAAACACTTTCACATAGCCTGCTTGCCGAGGAAGGGTCAGCTTAGGGATTGCAGAGAAGAGCAGGGGCGGGTCTTTAAGAAGCTCTTATCTTTTCCAGTGATGTGGAATAGAAGCCTTAGGACCATGTGCCACTGGGTCTAATTCATTGGATAAGTTCAGGTGTCCTGGTTTGAGTACTTTGTGACTTTAACGGACTCTAAGAAAACAACGCCAGGTTATTGTATAAACAGAGAAATTGGCACATTCTTTGATGGGGAGAGAAAAACAAACTGATGCCAAAGTCCAAGGCAGCTGGTTTGCAAGGTTTTGTAACTGCTGCCCAGCGGCTCCCAAAAGAGGCCTTAGCCTGTCCCCAGCCCCCTGCCCGTCCCAGCCTCCTGCCCCTGGTCCTCTGGGAGCCCTCTGGACCTCTCGTCCCTCCTGCCTTCTTCCAGGATAAATGGGGCCGCTTTCCCTGGAGTCAGCCCAGGTGCTGCCCTGGTACACTCCCCTGTTCTCAGCCCATGGGCGAGGGCATTACAAAACCAGGTTTGACTGCCAGGCCACACGCATCAGCTCTCACCAGAAATGAGAGCAGCTGGGGCCTGTTTGCCTTCTCAGTCAAGAAGTACTTACTGGGAGCTGGCACAGGCCAGGCCTCAGGCGCAAGGCGGGGGATGGGAACACTGGGGTCTGGTGGCTAAGATGCGGGCTCTGTTATGTGTTTCCTAAGTTTCAAGCACAGCTGATTAGATAATGAGGAGGAGGGATGACAATTTTCTTCTGTCCAGTGGATCTTTCCCATCAGCATCAAACATACCATGTTATCTGCCTTTTTTTTTTTTAATCTTTATTGGAGTTTGGTTGCAATGTTGTGTTAGCCTCCACTGCAGAACGAAATGAATCAGCCATACACATACAGACATCCCCTTCCTTTTGGACTTCCCTCCCATTTAGGTTACCACCATGCATCAGATAGAGTTCCCTGTGCTATACAGTATGTTCCCATCAGTTATCCACCTTCTTGAGAAGCAATCCTCTCTTGACTTCCGTACCCCTCTCTGACTATAGCTGTGTTTCTCTCTTTCCCGATACAGCACATTCAGATCTCTCAGAAGTGTTTTTTGTCCTTGGGTTCTCCAATTTCTTTCATCCCATTCTCTCTTGATCCCACTTCAATCAGGTTTTCACACCCTTCTCTTCATCAGAATGGATCTTGTCAAAGTCCCTGGTGACCTATGCATTGCTAAATCCAAGCAGTGGGAATAGCAAGTGCAAAGGCCCTGTGGTGGGGAGAGAGCCAGGCACGGTCAAGTTGCAGGGAAGAGACCAGCGTGGCTGGAGCAGAGCAAAGTAAGGGGACGGTAGCAAAATTATGAGTGTGGAAGGGTAACAGGCAGCTGGAATGCTGATGGTCTTGAAACCATTGCAAGGTCATTGACTTTTACCCAAAGTGAAATGGGGATGCAGCATGGGTTCTGAGTAAGGAGGTTAAGTAACCAGCCCATGGTCACAAAATGACTAAGTGTGGATTTGAACTTGGATCTTTCTGACTGCAGAGTCCCTACTATACTGTCTACATTAGCTGTGTGACCTTGAGTTGGTCATGCTGAACCTGTTTTCTCACTTGAAAAATGGGGAGACTGATTCCTACCTTCTGGGGCCAGTGAAAATCTCACATTAGAAAGGTTTGCAGGGTGCCAGTATTCAAAAAAGGTGAGCCATGATAACAGATTTTCTTTTCAAAGCTCAGTGATACCTGACACAGAGTAAGTGCTCAAAATATACCTTCCAGCTGAAAGCTGGAAGAGTCCAAATAGGGACTCAGAGAGAAGGGGATGGGAGAAAGAGGGGGGACCATTCCCATTCCTAGCCCTTCGTCTGCCTGGCTAGGTCTGGCCATAGCAGGTACTTAACAGAGAATTGTTGGATGAGTGGCTGGATGAACCCTGCCCTTCCCCAGGGCTGAGAAGGGCATGGTAGGCTCCCCAGCTGTCTTGCTGCCGTGGTCAGCATGGGGGCAAGGATTGGCCATGCCGCCCTTACCTGCCATGCCTCCCGCCAGCCACACAGCACAGGGGCTGGGGCCTGTGTGGGCCTCGGGCGTAATCCAGTCACTCAGGAACACATAAGGGATGAAGTAGAGGCAGTAGCCCGGGACGTCCCGCAGCAGCATGGCACTGGCGCCCCGGTACAGCCCTGCCGGGCCTTCAGTCCGCACGATGGTTATGATGCAATGCACAGGGCCCTGGTAGGCTGGCTGCTCCCCAAGAGCTGCCACCCTGGGCTTCAAACCGAGGTTGGCTGCAAAGACAGGGCAAAAAGATGGCAAGTGACCTGGGGGCAAGAGAATGACCATTGTCTGGCATTGGAGTCAGCCCAGCCCATTGACAGTTCCCACTCACGTCACCAATTGATTTTTACCAAAACTTCTGACCGTCTTGGCAACTCAGATGGGTATTCTGAAGTCCCAACAGGGAGCTCCTGCCAGCATGTGCAGCCAGACTGGACAAAATCCCAGCCAGGTGATAAAGCACCTGTTGCCTTAGAATGCCCAGAGGTTCTCGGTCAACCATCACTATGTCTTTTTGAGTAAATGTGACTGCACGATGCCTTGGATCAAATATGCTGAGGCATACCAAGCTCCTTCTTGGAGCAGAGGCTGGAAAATCCAACAAACTGTGTGTGTGTGTGTGTGTGTGTGTGTGTGTGTACTCGTGCATAGTGTGGTAAAAAGTGTATGAGATTTGGACCCAGACTGTCCTGGTTCCAAATCCTGGCCCTGCTTCTTACCAACTTTCTGACCTTGGTAGGCACCTTTTTAGCCTTTATTTCCTTACCTCTGAAAAGGGGACAGGCCAATACTGTATTGTACACTTGAAAGTTGCTAAGAGAGCAGATCTTAAACATTCTCACCACATACACACACAAAATGGTAACTATGTGATGTGATGGATGTGTAAACTGACCTTATCTTGGTAATCATTTCACTATACATACGTATACCAAATCATCACATTGTGCACCCTAAACTCACACAAGGCTATATGTCAACTGTATCTCAATAAAGTTGGAAAATTGTATTTTTTAAATAAAAAAGGGAACAGGCTGTTGTGAGTATAAACAAGGTAATACCTATAAAGAGCTCAGCATGGTACTAGGAACACTGTAGGGGTGCAATGTTATCACCAGATTATTACTGAGACCAAGTTGACTGGTGTGAGTTGGGTGCAGGATGCACTGGCTGGAGGGCTGGACATGTTCTCACTGACTCTCTCCAGCCCTGGCCAGGCTGTGCCCTGAAACAGCTGTAGGGCAGTACTGGTGCCATTGGCCCCTCAAAGTCCAGGGGCACAGGGTGCTGTCTCCTTAGCTGACCTCTGGGGTCTCTGCTGGCAGATCATCAGTTGTTATATCAGTAGCTTCTTTACAGGAGGTGTGTAGCCAGCAAGTAGTGACTCTGTCTGTCCCTCTAATTCTTCCATCGGGCTTCTTCCATCTCCCTGCCTCATGCCTGTCTACTCTGCTATGGACCTTTGATTTTATTTTATTATTATTATTATTATTTTGCGGTACGCAGGCCTCTCACTGTTGTGGCCTCTCCCGTTGCGGAGCACAGGCTCCGGACGCGCAGGCTCAGCGGCCATGGCTCACGGGCCCAGCCGCTCTGCAGCATGTGGGATCCCCCCGGACTGGGGCACGAACCCGTGTTCCCTGCGTCGGCAGGCGGACTCTCAACCACTGAGCCACCAGGGAGGCCCCTGCAACGGACCTTTTAGCACAGCTTTGACTCACGGCCAGAGAGACCTCCTAGTCCCAGTGCAGATAAAGCAGACTCATGTTCTCAAATTTCCCTTCTTGAAGAACTAACATGACATGGCCAGGACAGAAACAGAATGAAGCTTGCCTGTGACCACATGCGTATTTTGCCACCTGGGTTTAATTCCCGGTAAGCACCCCCTCAATGGGGTTTTACACATGCTGGTTAAGAGACAGATCACTTTTGTTATATAGGTGAACATCCAAGCCCCCTACATAGCCCCATCTTTATCAAATAAAGGTTAGGAAAAAATACTCAGCTTCATGATGCCACAGTCCAAACCGGAGATTTAGGAGTAAAGTACAACCTGTCTTTTTCACTCAACCCAGAAGTAGACGAGGTCCAGGGGGAGGTTCCTATTTGCCTGGAAAGTATGCTTGAACAAACTAATCCTGTATTTTCTTTCTATGTTGGGGGAACAGAGTCATCCTGGCCACGTACATTAGGCCAACTACAGCGTGGGCAGGAGGCTGAGTCTCATTCTATAGTCTATAGCAGGGAGTGAGCAGGGGTGGTGGCCACCTTTAGGGGCACAGGGCCCTCTGAGCTCAGAGCAAGATCAGACACCGTGGTCTTTGAGAATCCACTGAGAGGTCACTGAACACCCCTTTCTCTCCCAAATCCACTATGATACCACCAGGGTCATCCTGGGAAAATTTGACATTAGCCCACATAGATGTTAATTGTCCCAACATATAAACTCTGCCTGGGCCATGCTCATGTCGAAGTAACAGTGATCTGTCCCAGGAGTCAAGGTTTTCATGAATCAACTATGGGTATGATGTAGCTTTCAGAAGTTACTGATTGAAAGAGAATGTCCTGATAACATTCTGTTTGTTTGGGGGACAGATGTTGAAAAATAAACTTGTCCTACCTCCAACTGACTTTGTCAACAAAAAACCTGTACTTTTTTCCTTTTCTTTTCAGGATAAGCAATAAGGAAATTCTCTCACATTCTCCTAGGGTTATAAAATAATCAATCTAGCTTTTATTGCTTGAAAATGATCCATTTACAATTATTACAGCAATAGAATTGTCATGGTGACCTGGAATACTGACACGAGTCTGAACTGGTGGCCAAGGCCTTCTAGACACAAGTTGATGCTGTGAAGCCCTTGGAACTCCTTCCAGCTCCCTCAACCCCAATATTTTTAAAGAAACTTTTTATTTGGAAATAATTTCAAATTTGCAAAAAAAAGTACAAAAAAGGAAAACTGTACACAGAACACCTTTACCCAGATTCACCTATTGTTAACATTTTACCTTATTTGTTTTATGGTTTGTATGCTCTCTCTCCCTCCCTCCCCCTCTTCTCCCACTCCACCCCCCAACTTTTCACTCAAACACGTGTGTGCAATTAAAAGGAACAGGTGCCTTTGTCCCAGTGCCTAAACTTTGCCTGGGCCATGTTCATCTCCAGGTAACAGTGACCTGACTTGGAGTCAGGGTTTTCACGAATCAGCTGTGGGTACAATGTGGCTTTCAGGAGTTACTGATAGAAGGAGAGAATCTGATAAAATTGGAAAAACACTTGGCCAAACGAGAACTGGCCTTGACATCAAGACCCAAACCAGAACCAAATCTGTACTTTCATTTTTTTCTCCCAAAATAAGCAATAAGGAAATTCTTTTGTACTTTCATTTTTTTCTCCCAAAATAAGCAATAAGGAAATTCTTTTGCAAAATACATAATTTTATTCTCTGACCCATTTCAGGGTGAGTTACATACAAAATGGTCCTTTACCCCTAAATACTTCAGTCTGTGTTTCCTAAGACTCGGGATACCATTCTACATACTGTGGGACAACAGCCGGGTTCATAATCTACATGGACAATACTTGTATCTAATGTACAGCCTATGCTCATACCTTGCCGTGATCTCATGCTGACCTTTAGAGTGTTCCTCTCCAACCCCCAGGACAGGATCCAGTCTATCATGTATTATATTTAGTTGTCATGTCTCTTTAGCTTCCTTTCATTTGGAGCATTTCCACAGCCTTTCTTGTTTTTTTTTTATGACACTGCCATTTTTCAAAACTACACCACTCCCTTTCTTGTTAACAGAACTTTCCTTATCTGAGGCTTGTTTGATGTGTCCTTGTTATTACATTGAGATGATGCATTCTTGGCTGGACTTCTTCCCTGTTCTTAAGTCTCACCTTTTTTCCCATGAAAACCAATCACTCTTAATAGCCCTTGTCTTCTCCTCTGGCCTTCTCTGCCTGTTTTTATTAGTTTGTTTTTTAACTGAGGTATAATTTACATTCCATAAAAGGTGTAGCTTGTAAGTGCACAGTTGGTGAGTTTTGACCATGGCATGCACCAGACACCATATCCTACTGAGAAAATGACGTCTTAGCCTTGAAATAAACTGTTTTGGTCACTCAGGCAGAGCAAAGAAGCCTACCTAGCCTCTCCTGCTTTTCGAGACAAAAGGATTCTGTGACATCAATGACGTGTCACTCAATGAGAAGCAAATCTCTTTCGGGTGAGAGTTGTTACGGGCCCACCTACTTTAGCAATGGTGGTATGGACAATTCATAAGGGACCACAAGGCAGAAGACCGCTGGGATTCTGATCAGTTGCTCAGACCACAAGATGCTCTGTGGCTCAGCTGGGGAAGGAGTTGCCCAGGAGCCTTGGCAGCTAGACTTAGAAAAGCGCCGAAGCAGAGCTTCCGGTAACTCTAGCAGTGGACCAAGTTTAGTTTGTGTAAAACAAATTTTGGTGACCCTTAAGAACTGACTTGGGAGGTTGCTGGCAAGCAGCTCTTGGAAATATGCACAACTGATACATGTGGATTTGTCTTTGTGCAAGGAACCCAAGGAAGGAAGTAGGCACCCTGCTCACACTGAACCACTGACCCTCAGCCTGTTGTTCTAGAACCTTCAGGGCTTTGGCTTGGGGTGCACACATGCAAGTGAAGGGTTCACATTAGGTATATTTCCTTCTAGAATGAAACGTATTTAGTTTCCCTAATGAGAATTTTTTGTTCTAAAATGAGGATAAGATGATGAATCAAATTTTGATTATCTCTTATCATGAGCACTTTTTGTCATGAAGGCCATTTTTTGCTGTACTCTCTAAATCAAGAGTCTTTTACTATGATAGGTAGAGTTACACTCAGGATGCCTGTGGTTTTCTTTGTTTTCCCAAATTCATTTAGGGTCAACTCAAGCACCCTACACCGAGACGAGCAGGATGTTCAAAGTTGATAAAATTGCCCCCCACCCTGTTCCTAACCTTCACCTAGGAGCTTAGGAAGGCCTACACAGTTCTAAAAAGACCCCTCCTCCGAGCTCCCCTGCCTTGTCCAGCTCAGTCCCCGCCATCGCTCCTCGGAGCACACACTGTGGCTGTCTGGCTCCCCCGCTCAGCAGCAGTGTCTGGTGCCTTGCTTGCTGGCTCCTGCCTGGGCCAGGAGGTCCCTCTGTAGGCAGGTGCCTCTGCAGGGAGCTCTGCAGAGAGTACGGGTGTCCAGGTTT